GTTGGTCCTCAGGGTTTTTCTGCCTAAGGTGTGTTGCCCGGCTCCGTAGGCCCCACAGCACTTGGTATAAAGCGAGAGGCCAGTAGAGGAGGGGCAGACAGATTCTCATGGGTATATCACCTTGTCTGTTGTGTTGGATATTTCCTTATTCTTTGATACAGGTGTTTGTTTAATGGCTGTCTGTCCTGCTGGGACGCAGGCTCTGGGAGGAAAGGTACCGGGTTGGTTTTGGTCATCTCTGTATCCCTAGCACATAGTCCCTACCTGGCCCAGCCTGAAGACATCAGTAAATATTTGTGGCTTTGATGAATGAATGAATGAATGGATGGATGGATGGCTACACGAATAAATGCAGCATTAGGGCAATCTCTGCCGTGCAGAGGGCGGGCCCTGCTGAAAGGATGTGCACACGTGTCTTCGCTGTCCCCTACCTTCACAGAACCGGGCTATTTCCCGGGCGCCTGGCCTTGTCTGAGTGCCGTGGGTTTTATGCATACCACGAGGGCTCACAGCGCCAGCTGGTGACAGATCACAGACGTGTCCACCTGGCTACTCCTACACACCCCTCAGACCTCCCTGCCTTGAATAAAGTCCCACTCACTCTCGTGCCCCAAGTGACCTTGAAATCTCCATGCCCCCCTAAACCATGGGCTTCCTGTAGACAGGCAGCTCTACCCTGTTTGTACTGGGGTGCCCCCAAATGCCCAACCCAGGGCATGCCTACAACAGATGTTTTCAATCAATCAATAAAGATGATCTTCTCTACACACAAATATATGGGATACAACTTAGAAGACCACTAAAATATGCCGGGCCAGAAAAAATAATGATTTGAGTTTACATTTTCAAAAGCGAAAATTTAACCGCTGCCTCACACAGTTCGGTCAAGGGCTTCGAATTTGTGGAAGGGGCTTCTTTCCATAAATATTGTTATTAGTCGCCATGATTATCATAACAGCCGGGGGAACGGCCCAGAGCCCTGTCTCCCCAGCAGGGTGGGCTGGGCAGGTACTCCCTCCGCTGACTTGCTTCACTTGCTGACTAACAGACCTCACTCCCCGGCCGAGGGGATCATAATCCTGACAACTCCAGTTTCCCATCGTGGAGAGGAAGTGAGAGGGAGCGTTGTGGGACCCTGGGGGAAAAGCGGCCTGTACCTGCTGCTGCTTCGACAGTTGAGGCTCGCAGAGGGGCCGGCAAACAATGGGAAATGAAACATTTGAGTGGTTGCAGAAAATTCCGTGGGAAATCCCCCCTGGTGGTATGTATGTGCAAGGGCTGGGACGAGGGGAGCTCGGGGCTTTCGATTTCAAGGGCTCCTGAACAGACCAGTCCCCAGGACTCCCTCGGAACATGAAAGACCTGTCGGTCTGTCTGTCCAGGGAAGATGTGGCCGTGCACATGAAGGTGAACTACAAAGGCCTGTTGCGAGTTCACCCACAGTTGTAAAACTCGGGCCTCCAAACATTTCTGCCCTTAAACAAATCCCTCTCAACTGTTCCCCTACGTTTGCCCTGGCCTCAGAGCCCGGGGACTCTGACTGAGGGAGTTTCCTCGGGCTCAGACCCACTTGTGGAAGAGTGGGAACAGCAGCCTCTGCACACATCTCCTCCCGTTTAACTGAAACATCCCAAATCGAGGCCTGACTGCCCTCCCACGGCATCTTCCCGTTAACATGTGGCCTCTTCCTGCTCTCCCCACTCCCGTCCGTGATGAACACTTTGTCTGCTGCACCCCCACCCTCAATTAGAGAATAAAGTGGCCTGATATTAACCAACCCTCGTTTTGCTTTCCTGAGAACAAATAAATATTCAAAATACTTTACCACTCTCGCTAATGTCTTGCTACTGCCGCTGTGATAGAATATATGTGTTTATAGATCCACTTAAAGGTAAGGTTTATAGATTTTTAGAGACACTTAGCAGATGAGAAAACTGAAACTTAAAGGGGTGAGATAACTTGCTCTCGTGCATTAGTCATAAGGTTTCTGTTGCAGAGTGACGGATGCCTAACTTAAATGGATGTGAGTCAGAATAAAAGCATACGGGAGCATTTGACTGAGAAGCAAGGGCTGTATTAGCTTCAGGCATGGCTGGATCTAGGCTCTCAATGAAGTCTTCAGGAATTTGCCTCTCTCCATCTCTCTGGCTCTGCTTCCTCCCCCTGCGCCTGCACTGGTTGCATTTTTTAGATTGGCTCTCTCCACTTGTTTTACATCATCCCAGAGTCCAATCCAGGCTTTTTCCTGGTTATATCTGTAAAACCCCAGGATTAGGTCTGATGGTTTGATGAGGTCAGCTGCCCATTGCTAAACCAGTGACTATGGCAAGAAAGGTGGAATGATCTGATTGTCCAGGCTCCAGACACGTGCTCACTGCTCATGCCTAGCCAAACAACACGGACCAAGTGAGAATGAGTGGTTCCCTAAAGAATATCGGGGTGCTCTTACCAGAAGAAGGAGAAATGGATGCTAGATGGGCAGAAAGACCTGATATCCTGCCCTCCTGAGTCCCACAGCCAGGACGGGGCAGGCAGGCCCTCACTCAGATCTGCCCCCTACCTTCTGCATGTGGCTGGAGACCACCTCAGGGACCCCCTCCTGCTCCATGCTGCCCTGGGACTCTAGCCCCACGCCTGCCCCATGAATTCATTCTAGTCCATGGCTTTCGAAATGTGCATCCTAGGAGCTGCTGGAGGGAGGCAGACAGCCGAGGTGAGCAAGAAAGAAGGTGACGGAACCTCAGCGGCTGTGGCTACAGAAACCCCTCGGTCCCTGTTTCAACCAGGCAGCGATTCTTGTATCTGTTTTTATAGTCACTTCCTCTATATACTTTTATTCCAAGCAGACAGCTCTGCTGTCCTCTCACCCATTTGTAAATGAGGAACAACAGCCCAGAGAGATGCAGGAACCGACCGAGGCCATGCATGCAGCCACCGTGCAGAGTGAACCTGCGGAATCACCTTGTGCCTGCCCACATCCTGCCTTGCCACGTGCAGCCTTGAGGGTTGGAGACCACCATGCACAGCCCCGCGCCACCTCCCTCCTTCACCGGTCAAGGAGCCGCCTCCCAGAGCAGAAAGAGGAAATATTTTTGCAGCTTTTTTCGAGTCTTGGGGTTCCCTGCCCTGCGGGGGACTCTCTGTAGGTAGAGGATTCTGCAGGAAAGGAGGAGAACACCCCGATTCCGGCTCCTCCCCGCTTGCTGGTACCGGTGTTTATGTCACCACTGCTCCAGAAGAACTTACACGGGTGAGCTTCCGTTTAGGATGTTGACAAACAATGGCTCTGCTCCATCCTCCCGTATCTGTGCCGCCACACACCAGCCCCGCCACATCTTTCACACACACACACACACACACACACACACACACACACCCTTCTGCAGCACCGGCCACGCCGTTCATCACAGTGAACCTCTCTGAGTGTTTACAGTGACTCCACCCACTTACATCCCATACAGTGCCCTCAGCTGACAGGTAAGAAGATGCGGATGGACATGTCAGTTTCTCGGGTTCTCAGCAAGGCTCAGGCTCCGGCAGCCAGGAAAATGGGCTCTGAGTTATATTGGGACACCGGACGCACAATGAGCACTTTGGACAAGAAGGATGTAGGTCACAGGTGCCAAACACCAGGCCCTCGGGCTGAACCCGGCCCTCCACCTTGTTTTATCTGGCCCGGCACCTTGTTTCTACCCGGTGGCAGCACCGAGCTCTTGCTTAACTGTGAAGGAGGAGTTACATTTACACAGTCCTAACATTACATTCGGCCCTTTGAAAGCAATCGCAAGGCTGATGTGGCCCCCGGTGACAATGAGTTTGACACCCCTGAGTAGGTTGTTGTCAACATCTGCGCACGGACAGACAGAAAGTTCTCTGCTCCCTTCAGTCCCTTCCTTCCACTGCCCGGGGGCTTCCGGCTGAGCCTGAGGATCGCTCTGTTTCCCTTTCCACTTCTCTCCTGCGCTCCTCTCCTTGCCCAGAATCCTCAGCAAACCCACACAGGGGACTCCAGGGAGACAACTATTATATAACACAGTGGTGCAGCTCGCAAGGCGCCAGCAAACACAGGTGAGCCAGGTAAAGGAAGGCACCCGGGCTCACGGCTTAGACTACCTTGCAGGAGCTTACTGAATGAGTGTGATTCTTAACATCTCCGAGTTGGATCTCCTCCAGGCCAGCCAGCTGGTGCATTCAGCGCGACTCAAGCTCGCCTTAACTCAATTAACTGAGCTGCGCTGAGCAGAGCTCAACAAGTATCTCTTAAGCCCTGAGCTGGCTGCCGGGGGCAGGGGGAGACAAAGAAGGGCAAGGCACAGACTCTGCCAGACCGGGCCCTGCAGGAGACCCTCCCGCTCTTCATGGACGACACAGTGCCTTATTTTCTGCATGCCACCTTCACCATGGTCCCCAGGCCCCGCAAGCCCCCTGCGCGGTGACCGACATCATTTTTTTTCTTTGACTTTTCCGGAAGTAAATTAATTTCCTTTGGAAACACATAAGGGTTGATTATCCAGGTGGAATTCACAGACCATAAAATCCACCGTTTGAATGTGACTGATTCAATGGCATTTAGAATATTCACAGGGTTGCAGAGCCGCCCCCTCTGACTAGTTCCGAAACGTGCCCGGCCACCCCACGCCCAGCACGCAGTCTCTCCCTATCCCCACCTTCCCTGAACCCCGAACCCACCGATGTGCTTCCTGCGTCTGTGGATTTGCCTCTTATGGACCTTTCGTATGAGTAGAATCCTGAAATACATGGCCTTTTAGGTCTGACTCCGTTCACTTAGCATAATCTTTTTCAGCGTCATCCACATTGTAACATGTATCAGAACTTTATTCTCTTTTATGGCTGGATAATTCCATTTTATGGTTATACCATGTTTATTCATTCCTCCTTCGATGGGCATTTAAGCTATCTCTACCTGTTAGATATTGTAAATAGCACAGCTAAATAAGTTTGCTTTCACTAATTAAGATGTAATTGACATATAACATTGTGAAAATATGAAACATTTCACGAATTTGCATGTCGTCCGCACTCGGGGGCCATTTAATCTTCTCCGCTTTGTTCCAGTGTTCGCATATGTGCTGCCGGAACAAGCACCAAATGAATGGGCTTAAAAAAAAATTAGCATCGCTGTTGTAAATAGGAAGCCTGTATCTTTCTAGCAGACCATTAAATAGATAGTTAACTATTAGGAGTAACAGTTCCACCTGCAGAGCACACGTCACGCCGGCCCGCATACTATCAGGTGCAGTAGCGAAGACCCCATTGCCAGATGTGGCTGGCCTTGCGTTGGAACCCTGCCTTTGCCATCTGTGTGACTCTGGGCAGATGTCCTGGCCTTCCCCAGCCTCAGTTTCCTCGTCTGTTAAATGCTAATCCTTAAAATGGCTTCGCTCTGAAGTTGGGTGAGAGTCAAAACCAGGCACCCAGTACGTGCTAGATCCGTGAAAGCAGGTGGGTGGGCACCCAAGTCAGGGACACGGTGGCAGTAATGGCATGGGTCGCTAACAAAGCAAGGACTTGCTAGGTGCCAGGAATAAGGCGAGGTGCCGTGAGGGCGTTATCTCATGTAAACCCCATAGTGTTTTAGAAGGCAAATGACTACCCCCATTTTGTAGCTGAGAAAACAGGCAAAGAGAGGTGAAGCCAGAAGGTGGAGGGCACACAGCAAAGACTTGAGCTCTGGGAAAGTGACGTGACCATCTGAGGAGGAACCAAGAGTCCCCTGGCATGTCAGGGCTGTCCCCAGGTAGGGATGGTTAACTGCACGATGGCTGACGGGGACTTTGAGGTCCAGCTCCAGCCACCGGCTGCGCACCGGACCTGGAGCCTCGGTCTTTGCCGGGGTCTTCCCAGCACAGCCTCACTGCCAAGGGGCTCTTTTGTCGGGTCTGCCGAGACAGGGCTCCCCGAGGGCCTGCTCTCGGCCTTCACAGCCTTGCTGGTTGGCTTAACTGTTGTGGGTAATGGGCTTTGCAGGCCCTCTGTGTACCCTGTGGTCCCCCAGTGCCCCTAAAACTGCCCCTTCACTCTGCACTCTCTCCCTCTCCACGCTGCATCTGAGCTTTCCAGACCGTCTCACAGCTTCTCACTAATTACCCACCGCCAGCGCAAAAATTAGCGAGTCTCGGGTTCACACGCATCCATTACACCTTCGTCAACAGGGTGTGCCGATTCACAGTTCGGGTCCGCATGGGGAATCCTGCTCCGCCCAAGGACGGCTCTCGCCTCAGGGTGGTCTTAGTTTCCTGGGCTGTCTTAACCAAGCGACACAACTGGGGGGGGGGGGCTTAAAACCACAGGAATTTACTCTCCCACTGATGGGGGGGGCAGAATCTAAGTGTCCCAAATCCAGGTGTCAGCAAGGCCACCCTCCCTCCGAAGTCCCCAGGGGAAGATCCTTCCTCCTTCTTGGTGGCCTCCCCAGATACCCCTGTATGTCCTTGACCATCTCTTAGGAGGACACTTACGTTGGATTTGAGAACCACACTAATCTAGTACAACCATCTCGATCCTTATACTAAGTCCCTCTGCCCGGACCCTATTTCCTACATCATGGGCTGAGACTCCGGGTGGATATGAATATTCAAAGGACATCACATAACCCACCGCAGAGGCCTTGGAATAGAAGGGGCGCCTGACCATCTTCGGAACAGGTTTCCTGTGTGCCTGAGCACAGATATAACGGGGCATCGTTTTCCTTCAGACTCTGAAAGTGGTCGGCCAGCTTCTTACAATCTCTCTTTCCCAGCCCTTAGTGGCACCACGGGCCAGCCTGTCGCTTTCTGGCCTGTCTCTAGTCCAGTGCAGTTCAGGATAGTTTAACCCCTCTGCCATGTTCTCCTCCACCTTCCCCAGGTCAGCTCTGTCCCGGGGCCTGAGGACCCTGGCGTGGGCCCGGCCACCTCCAGCCCTGCTCCGCCCTGTGCTTCTGGTTCCGAGTGGACCCAGTAGGACGGTGCCCCGGACACCCACACTCAGCCGGCGCTGCCTCACAGCAAGTTCCCCGGGTGTCTCACTTCAGACGCGGCCGGTGTGTGGGTGTGCGTCTGCGAGCGAGGGGCAGCCAACCCAAGAAACCATTGTCCCCCGGAGCACCCCACCACCCTGGCGATCCCCAGAGCAGCCTTTGAGAAATGCCATGCGGCATAAACCGCTGCAAAATGGAAAGCGGGGCCACAGCTGTGACGTCTGCATTGCCATAGAAGAGGAGTTTTTGAGTAAACACATCGACTCTGGAATGATTCTGTGATTTATTCAGAAAACTGGCTTCCGGATCACGGGGGACAAGACTCAGCATGGTGGGGAGACCGCAGCCCCTGGGCAGAGCTGCGTGGACAGTGGGACAGGCCAGGTCCTCCTCTGAGAGGGGACCAGAGACTAAACTCGTGCCGGCTCCTGCGAGCCCCACTGCGGCCGCCAACAGGGCGTAACTCTCACGCTGAAAGGCAAGTACTTTCAAGGAAAATTTACACCACAGTGAAGTCTGGCCCTGTAGGCAGCGCTCCCACGTAGATTCAATGACAGGGACCCAGCAGAGTGGTAGTAGTAGTAGTAGTAATAGTAATAATAATAATAATAAAACGAGAGAAATGCATAAACAGATGTAAGTGCCAGGCACAGTCTCACCTGCTGTTCTCCAGGTGTGGACTGGGGCCCTGAGCACCTGCCAGCCCCGGGCGTGGCTCCGGTGCCCCAATAGCTGTTGTTTCCGTATGATGCGGCCTCTGAAAGCCGGCCCCCACCTTCACCGGCTGCCCCACGGGACAAGGAGAGCCCCCAACACTGGAGAAACCTGGGCTGCACTAAGCTGACTGGGAGAAAGCATGGCGGCCTCCAATGTGACCTTTCCGAGGGTTTTCAAAGGCAACCTCTGCCCAGAGCCCGCGTGCCCCTCAGGACGTCCCACGGCAGGGCCGTGAAAGCACATCAGCTGTGACCCCGCCCCGCCCCTGGCAGTCTCAAAGCCAAACAGGATCTGTTTGTGCCCAGAGCATCGATAATTTCTGAAAGAGGACTGATCCTACGCGTGACTTCAGAAGGGGCTGTCAAGGTGGCCCCACGACCGCCTCCCTTCCCACCTTTCCCTACCGAATCCAAATCCGAGAGGAAACCTTTTAAATCTGAAGGGGTAGCTCTTTCATCCCCACTGGTCGGGGCGGATCAGTTTACCCACTCAGCCAACAGCCCCCAGAGGTCAGAGGGGGCAGGGATTCAGAAGGTTCCGCGGTGTGGGAAAGACAGAACCAGCTCTCTCTCTCTCCATTCTGTCCCCTGGCATGAAACCCCCCCTGCCCACAGGATGAGGTCCGATCCCAAGGACTCTGTCTTCTGAACCAGCCCACCTTCCTCCTTCATGACTCGCTGCCCCGCACTGAGCCCAGGTTGGGGCGGGTAAGCCGAGAACTCAGTGAAGACTGTGGAGTGAGGGGAGGGAACCTGTGTGCCATGCAGGCACCGTGTGTGGAAGTCTCCGCACTGAGCTGTGTCAGGAACCGTTAACTGGGTGGGGGGGCGGCTTAAATCTCTGCCACACTTCTCAAGAAACACCCCCCCCCAAGAAAAATCCTGTTTACAATGGAAAAGCAAAACCAGACTCAGATCCAGACAGCTGATGTTGGCCAGAGGGGAGGAGGCACGGTGACAAAGGCGAAGGGATGGAGAATACGGACTGGTGGTTACAGAACTGCCCCAGGGCTGTGAAGTCCGGCCCGGGGACGTGAAGTCCGGCCCTGGGACCATAGTCAATATCACCGTGACAACTGCGTGTGGTGCCAGGCGGGGGCTGGAAATAGCAGGGGAAACACTTTGTAAAGTACTCGAGTGTCTAACCTCTACACGGTGCACCTGAAACCAATACAAGACAACACTGAATGCAAACTGTAATTGAAAAATAAAGAAATATATGTCTATAAAATAAGATATAATGAAAAGCAAATCCTTTGCACTCTCACCTCCATGGCAGCTGGCGCCCCCAGTCTCTCAAACTCCCCCAAACTCTCCGTCAGATCTAACTTTGCTCACCACCGCCCCCCCCAGACCATCTCCCCTTCCCAGTACAGCTGCCACTTCTTCTGCAAGTGCGGGGTAGCCGGTCGCGAACATGAGCTCCGGGGCTCAGCCTGCCTGGCTCACGTGAGCTTGGCCACTCCCCGGTGAGTGGAAACCTGGCAGGTGTCAGTGCTCAGTGGGCCCCTTTTGCACGAATGCAGTAAGAAAGGTACACTGGTTTCCCAGGACTGCTAAAACACATGGCCACAGACTTGGGGGCTTCAATGACAGAAATTCATTCTCTCATGGATCTGAGGGTCAGAGGGCCACGATCAAGGCGCTGGGAGGGCTGTGCTCCCCACAGAGGCTCTCAAGGGGGCTGCTTCTCGCCTCTTCCTGCTGGTGGTGGCCGTGAGCATTCCTGGGCTGGTGGCCCTACCATTCCAGTCCCTGCCTCTGTCTTTACATGGTCTCCCCCACGTGCATTGTAAGAACATTTATTACTGGATTTAGAGCCCACCCACATAATCAAGGCCAATCCCATTTAAAGAAAATCACATCTGCAAAAACCTTTTTTTTTCTAAATAAGGTCACATTCACAGTTTCCAGAGAGGGGTCAGAATGTGGACATACTTTTTTTACCAGGGGGCGGGGGGCATCATTCAATCCACTATGAAATGATATTGCATCCTTCCTTTTGTGAGTGTTGGGTGGAAAGAGAGCTGCACATGCCTCTCATTCTTTTTTTCTTTTATCTTTGTCATGATGAATACATCAAGTCAGCAGCCAGCAGCAGGTACTTGGGGACGCAGAAAGGAAAGAGAGGCAGATGGCAGAAAGGGGACAGCCAGCTTCCCTGACACTCATCCACCCCTTACACACGAGGCAAGCTTGCAGCCACAACACACCTAACTGCAAGAGAGCTACCACATCCTGGGGGGGTTGGATGGGGTGGAAAAGGCAGCAAGTTTCAGCCACAGAGTTGGCCCTCAGGCAGACCTGTGCTGGGACAGAGCATCTCAGCTTTCCCACCAAGACCGGTCGGCTGAGTGCTTGGCTGGCTGGGGGTGGTGCAGGCTCGTTATTTATTGATATCCTGTGTTGAG